CAGGTAGATGTGATCAGGAAATGGGCTTCCATTTTCACTCTTCTTCCTGAGAAATTTCAAGATGCCACTGTTGGTCATTTTCACGTAATTTAGGATTTAATTTTTGGCTTATTTCCTTTTTTGTCTGGTTGTCCTGCTCCACAATCTCTGTTCAGGCCTTTTTTCTAGTTGTAAACAGTTCAGAGCCGGCTGTGGCTGTTAGGTTTTAATTGGAAACTGTCTCTTTAAATTTCGAGGTGATCTGTGCGCATGGGTAGTAGAACCCTCCGAGGGTGGGGTTGGGGGCCCACTAGCCCAGGCACCCCTATAGTCACCTGAATGGAGGTGCGCAGACAGCAAGGGACCAATGAACAGCTACCAAAAGAAAATAATGTCCACCCCTTTGTCTCCGCGGTTCTGTCAGGCATCTGTGGCTGCTCTGATCCTTCCCCTGCTTGGTCTAACCCAAGATGGCAGCTCCTGGAGCAGCTGAGCATCCCGGACTAGAAAGCAATGGATTTCTTGCTTCTGCCACAAATTCCCCAGCTATAAGCCTTCTAGCCTTCTAAATATTCCTTTATATGTGGTTCAGAGTTCTGGGACCATCCCCTGAGCCTGCTTAGTTGGGTATTCTGTGTTGTTGCTTGTGGAGCTCTTCACTTCACTTCCACCCTATCCACCATCTTGTTTGTTCTCCCTTAGAATCATGTATTTTGGAGATGAGCATGTTTGAAAACAAAATTCAAGGTAATCGTCTCACAAGAATGTTGAAAGGTTGGGAGTAAATGATGCTGATGCATTCATTATCCCCTTGGGCTTGTAGTTTGTATTCAACATTTTCCTGAATAATTTAAGTGTTTGTGATCAATGCAGGGCCAGTAGAAGTCCTATTATTTATGTTCAGTAATTTAAGAGGCTGACAAGAACTGAGCTGTGGCACAGGACCCTACTGCAAGAGCTTTTTAATAGGATAGGTAGATGCCTTTTTGGAGTCCTTAGGAATCCTGGTGTGGTGCTGTAGGATAAGTTGTTGTTGTTGTTGTTGTTGTTGTTGTTATGTGTCGTGGAGTCGGTTCTGACTCATAGAGACCCTGTACAGGGTTTCCAAGGCTGTAAATCTTTACAGGAGCAGAAAGCCTCATCTTTCTCCTGCCGAACAGCTGGTAGTTTTGAACTGCTGACCTTGAGATTAGCAGCCCGATTCATAACCACTACGCTACCAGAGTGTAGGATAAGTACTGGACTGCTAACTGCAAAGTCAGCGGTTCAAACCACCAGCTGTTTCTTTGCCTTCACTCCTGGGCTTGACCATATGACTTACTTTGGTCAATGAGACAATTATAAACAACACCAGCATGGACTTGAAAAGTCCTTCCACCTGGGGCTCAATCGATTTGATTCTGTTCTTGGAGCCCTGCTGCAACTTGAACAAACTTGGACTGGCTTGGTGGATTTTGAAGGACAGGTGACCCATCTCCTCAGCCTGTAGTGAGACCATTTACTGACATATGAGTGAGGTCAGCTGGGACCAGCCAGCCAGCCACCAGCTGACCTGCCCACTCAAGACCAGAAAAAGACCCAGCTGATTGTGATTGAAATCGATGTTCCTTTTATGACCCTCAGCAAGATGGCTTGGCACAGTGGTTGTAGCAGTGGACTCAAACATTGCAATTGTGAGGATGGTGCAGAACTGGACAGTGTTGCGTTCTGATGTACATGGGGTCCCTGTGAGCTAGAATCTACTCAGTGGCACCTAACTATAACAAGTTGGGAGGTGATTTGTCATTTTGCAAACATTAGCTCATATCCTCATAAAACAAATAAACACAAAATTATATATTCTATATAATTCCATATATGGAGTCCTGGTGTAGCACTGTAGGATCAGCACTGGACTGCTAACCACAAGGTGGGAGTTTCAAACCCACCAACCACACCTTGGAAACCCTATACAGGTTCTCTATGCATCAGAACCAACTTGGCAGCACATAACAACAACAATTCTACAAACATACATTCCAAGAACAATCTGTGCTTACTTTTGGAAAGGAGTATCAGCTTTCCAAGGAAAAGGGAAAGAGAAACATATCAGCTTCACTGCACAAGAGATGCGTCCACACATGAGTAGCATGAAGCAATGTGTCTATTCTTGCTCATACAGCAGTTCCTCAAACTACGGTCCACAGGCCAAATCCAGCCTGTTGTCTATTTTTGTAAATAAAGTTTTATTGGAACACAGCCACATCTATTACATTATTGTTACAGCTGCTTTCATGCTAAGAGCTGTTGTAGAAATCACATAGTCTACAAAGATTAAGATACTGTTGTATATGGTTTCCGAGGAGCAGTAGATGGTTTTGAATCTCTGGTCTTGAGGTTAGCAGTCCACTGCTTATCCTATAGCACCACACCAGGTATCCAGGTATATATTTGTTGCTGTTGTTAAGTGTCATCAAGTAAGTTCAGACTTATAGCAACCCTACATAGGGTTTCTGAGAAGCAGCTGGTGAATTTGAACTGCCGACCTTGTTGTTTGCAGTCCAGTGCTGATCCTACAGTGCCACACCAGGACTCTCGAAGTATAGCTTGTTGTTATTGTTCTTAAGTGCTGTCAAGTTGGTGCTGACTCATAGTGACCTTGTATAGGATTTCCAAGGTTTTAAATCTTTGTAGGAGCAGAAAGCCTCATCTTTCTCCTGTGGAGTGGCTGATGGGCTTAAACTGTGGATCTGGTGGTTTTCAGCCCATCATGCTCTCAAGGTATATGCTTAGGGTACCAGAAAAGCAGCAGCATCTGCTTGATTTCTGAGGCCGGTGTAACCCTAATATCAAAACCATGAAGAATCAGGACCTGAGTCCTCAAAACCTCACACACCTAGTGGCTTAGAGCAGTAGGATCCCTACAGTTTATGAGGCTAGAACACCAAATTCAGAGTGCGAGCTTGTGGGGAAGGCTTTCTCTTTGTGGGTTCTGGGGAAAGGTCCTTGTGTCCTTTCAGCATCTGTCAGTCCAGCATTCCTTGGAGATCTTCATAATTTTTTTTTTTAAGGTCTTCTTGTGAATTATGTGATAGTTTACATGGGAGCGCATTATCTTCACATTCATCCTATCATATTTTGTTTCATTGCAATGATTACAATCCCCTGCATGCATTATCAAACAATCAAATGATACACCTGCACACCTGCCCCCCCCCCCCCGGCTGCCAACACACAGCCCTTCTCCCTCCCTGATTCTAGAGTCCTCAGCTGCTCCGTCTGTCCACGTCATTCTACATACTTCTTGGCATCAATCTTTCCCTGGATCTACAAACTTTACAGAGAACTGAGGTCCAAAGGACACACTCCATCCTGGTTCATCTTTCTTGATGGTAGTAGGTCACTCATTAGAAAGATTTACTACCTGGCCTTTTATAGAAAAAGTTATGGGTTGACTGAGCAATTCTGCTATCACTAGGCTTTATGCCTCTCTATCGTATAGTTCTGGTATGGCGCTGTGGGCTAATGTGTTGGACTGCAATTTCATCTTGAATTGCAGTGTCAGCTTGAACTGTGAGGTCGGCAGTTCAAACTCACCAGCCACTCTGTGGAAGCCCTATACAGACTCGCTATGAGTCAGAACCAACTTGACGGTACTTAACGAAAACAACAACAATCACATAGTTAGCTCAACTGAAATTACTCCTTGTTCTAAAACAAGAAGCAGAAGTGAGCAAGGTCTCCTGAGGCCTGGGTTTGGAACTAGCGTACTATTACTTCCTTAGTCTTTTACCACAGTGTGTTGGCTCTTCTTGGTCTTTTGTTTTTCCCATGTAGATTGTTTGAATCAACTTAAACATCATAACAAATCTTGTTGGGATTTTGACTGGAGTTGCATTAGGTCTATAGATGAATTAGAGCATGGACTGATATCTATAATTCAGCCACTTTTAATGGTCCTTCAGTAAAGTTCATAATTTCCTACACTTGGTTCTTAGAAATCTTGTCTTAGATTATTCTTAAGTACTTTATAGCTATGTGTGTATGTCATTCTGTTGTAAGTTGTGCTTCCAGATTTGTGGTTGGTAATGTATAAAAATGCCTTTCCACATACCTTAATTCTTCTGCTTGTTCTAGTGAATTGTATGTATCCACTAGATTTTCTGTCTAGATAATCACATCTTTTGGAAATAAATAGAGTTTCATTTCCTCCTTTCTAATGTTTGAACCTTTAATTATAGTAACATTTATTAGAAAGTGATAGCAGTTGTGACCATGGTCATTGACCAACAGAGTAAAATAGGAAGTCCACAAACAGACCTATGCATACTAGAGAGTTGTAGAGGTCAAATTGGTATTGTCGATGTGGGGAGACGTGAGGGCTGTTCCAACTGAGATGGGAAGAATTGGTTATACGTATGGGCAATGGTGAAATGCACCACTGTGTCATACACCCAGTCCAGTCCTACTTGCTAATTAATTTCAATATAAAAATCCTGTAGCAGAAAATATGTCAGGACCTTTCTGACATCGGGGAAGGAAAGTGCTTTTTAAAACAAGACAAAAAATACTAATTGGAATATGCCACTTACAATTATAAAGAGACAATTCAACACACAAAAACTTTCTGGCATGTTTCGATACATAGAACGTGAAGTTTCACATCAACCTGGAGGTACATTAACTCCCTCCCTTTAACCAGATACACCAAGCCTTCTTCCTTGTTTTGAGCATAAGAACCCTATTTGGAAGATGGCCAGAAATCATTGTTCTTTTGTACTTAAACTGTGCATCTTGTGGAGACCTGGTTCTCTTGTCACCTACCATTTCACATAAACTCTTAGATGGAGACAAAAAGCAGGAGCTGTATACCTTGGTGTGTGTGTGTGTGTGTGTGTGTGTTTATGATGGGCATGAGGATGGGGAAGACTACATGACATTCTCATGCTACATGGTATTTCTCATGTAGGAAAATTAGGCTAACAGGTAACTGCTGACTGTTACAGGGGAGCTCTGGAGACATTCTCTCTTTATTCCCCTAGATTTGGCTCTCAATGGATGGCGGCAACACTTTCGATCTAATAGCTGACTTTTATCATGATGTCATTCGGAGGTCTTTTCACAGTTTTTATACTTCAGATATTACTTTTGTTTCCCAACATGGAAAGGTTTACTTCACAAAGGCAGGTAAGCAATGCAGACTTTTATTGGCCAGAGCACTTAATGTGGGCCAGAGATGAGGAGATCTGTGGGAAACCTACCTTACTAAGCAACTAATCCTAAAGTCTCAAGCCTGGAAGAAGTCTTTTGCAGGATCTGCAGACGTATGATCTTATGGACAGTCCTGCCCTAAAGAAGGAAAAGCCTGGATCAGGATGCTATGTTATTTCCAATTCCAGTGATGATTAACTTTCCCAAAAGACATAAACAATAGTATTATGTGATAATAGTCTTATTGAAATATAATTCACATATTATAATATTCACCTTTGAAAGCTTACAATTCAGTAGCTTTTAGTGTATCCAAAGAGATGCCAACCACAATCAGTAGTTTAGAACATTTTCTTCACTCCAAGAGTCCTCTTACCCATTACTCTCTACCCCAGCCCAGACCAGACCAGCCCCTAACATTTACTAATTTGTGTTCTCTTTCTATGGATTTACCTATTCTGGACAATTTTATATACATGGAATCATATAAATGTGTTGTGGGTTGTTTTGTGTTTTTTTAACCTATTCATTAATTCATTAAGGTCAGTGGTTCAAACTCACCAACTGCTCCTTGGAAACCAACTCGACTACACTTAACAACAACATTCATCAGTTCATGGCTATTTGAGTTGTTTCCACTTTGGGACTATAATGCTGCTATTAACATTGGTGTGCAAGTCTTTCTGAAGATAGACTCTCAGTTCTTTGAATATGTATTCAGGAATGGAATTGCTGACTATATGGTAACTCTATTGACTTATTTGAGTGAGCGAGAAATGGTGTCTCATTGTGGTTTTGATTTGCATTTCCCTAATGCTAATGTCCTGGGGTGGCACTGTGGGTTAATGCACTGGACTGCAAAGTCAGTTTGAACCACAAGGTCAGCAGTTCAACCTCACCAGCCGTTCCTCAGAAAACTTACACAGGGTTGCTGTGAGTTGAAACCTGACTCAATGGCATTTAACAACAACAATAATGACTAATGAGTCCCTGGGTGGTGGGAGCAGTTAACACACTCAACTGCTAATTGAAATGTTGGAGGTTCAAGTCCACCCAGAGAGAGGTGCCACATGAGAAAGACCCCCCAATCTACTTCATACCTCAGTGTCTGAATATGAAAGTCCTAGGGAGCACAAATTTGCTTGGCACCCATGGTCTCTCTATAAGTTAGAATTGTAGTAAACTTGATTGAAATTATTTTTTGTTGTTGTTTTAAAGACTAATGCTGTTGAGTCTCTTTCCATGTGTTTATTAACCATTCATATAGCTTCTCATGATATATTAAAATAGTCTGCCCATGGACTGGTATTGGCCATTTTGAATCTGACAGTCACATGGTTTACTATTCTGGGAATGACAAACTGAACCACCTTCCTACAAGGAAGACCAGTTAATACCACTATTATTCAAATTTATGCACCAACCACCAAAGCCTGTGATGATGAAATTGAAGAATTCTACCAACTTCTTCAGTCTGAAATTGATCAAACATGCAATCAAGATGTATTGATGATTACTGGCAATTGGAATGCAAAGGTTAGAAACAAAGAGGAGGATCAGTAGTTGGAAAATATGGCCTTGGTGAAAGAAACAATGCTGGAGATCACCTGACAGAATTTTGCAAGATCAATGATGTCTTCATTGCAAATACCTTTTTTAAACAGCATAAAAGTCAACTATACACATGGGCCTCACCAGGTGGAATACACAGAAATCAAATTGACTACATCTGTGGAAAAGCTCCATCTTATCAACTAAAACAAGGCCAGGAGCAGACTGGAATAGACCATCAACTGCTCATATGCAAATTCAGGCTGAAGCTGAAGAAAATTGAAGCAAATCCATGAGAGCCAAAATATGACCTTGAATATATTCCACCTGAATTTGGAGATCATCTGAAGAACCAGATTTGATGTATTAGATATTGGAGACCGAAGACCAAAAGAGTTGTGGGATGACATCAAGAACATTATACAGGAAGAAATCAAAAGGTCATTAGGAAGACAAGAGAGAAAGAAAAGACCAAAATGGATGTCAGAAGAGACTCTGAAACTTACTCTCCAGCATAGAGATGCTAAAGCAAATGGAGGAAGTGAGGAGGTACAAGAGCTGAATATAAAATTTCAAAGGTCAAGTCTAGAAGACAAAGTCAAACATAACAAAATGTGCAAAGACCTGGAGTTAGAAAACCAAAAGGGAAGAACATGCTCAGTATTTCTCAAGCTGGGGGAACTGAAGAAAAAATTCAAACTTCGACTTGCAGTATTGAAGGATTCTATGGACAAATTATTGAATGATGTAGAAAGCATCAAAAGAAGATGGAAAGAATACACAGTCACTGTGTATTGACCACCAAACAGAAGTGGTCAATGTTCAACCATTTCAAGAGGTAGCATATGATCAAGAGCTAACGATCCTGAAGGAAGAAGTCTAAGGTTCACTGAAGTCATTGACAAAGCACAAGGCAATGGAACTTGACGGAATACAATTGGAAATATTTCAACAAAGTGATGTAGCCCTTGAAGCACTTTCTCATCTATGCCAAGAAATTTGGAAGACAATTACCTGACCAACTGACTGAAAAAGATCCATATTTGTGCCCATTCCAAAGAGATGTGACCCAACGGAATGTGGAAATCATCGGACAATATCATTGATATCCCACACAAGTAAAGAATCACTAAAGGTAATACAGAAATGGCTTCAACCATACATTGACAGAGAACGTCCAGAGGTTCAACCCAGATTCAGAAGAGGACGTGGAACTAGGGATATCATTGCGTATCCTTGGTTGAGAGCAGAGAATACCAGAAAGATGTTTACTTATGCTTTATTGACTACGCAAATTGTGTGGATCATGGCAAGCTATGGGCAACATTGCAAAGTGTGAATATTCCAGAACACTGAATCGTGCTCATGAGGAACAGTTACATAGATCAAGAAGCCTTTGCTCAAACAGAATAAGGGAACATTAAATGGTTTAAAATTAAGAAAGGTATTGCCAGGGTTATATTCTTTCATCATACTTATCCAATCTGTATGCTGAACAAATAATCTGAGAAGTTGGATTACATGAAGAAAAATGTGGTATCAGGATTGGAGGAAAGTTCATTAACAACCTGTGATGTGCAGATGATACATCGTTGCTTTCTGAAAATGAAAAAGACTTAAAATACTTACTGATGAAGATCAAAGACAACAGCCTTCAGTATAGGGTGCACCTCAGTGTAAAGAATACAAAAAGCCTCACCACTGGACCAATAAATAACATCCATATAAATGGAGAAAAAGATTAAAGTTGTCAATGACTTCATTTTGCTTGGATCAACCATTAACACTTATGGAAGCAGAAGTCAAGAAATTAAACGACGGATTTTACTGAGTAAATCTACTGGACAAGACCTCTTTAAAGTGTTGAAGAGCAAAGATGTCAGTTTTTGAACTGAGGTGTGCCTGACCCAAGCCATGATATTTTCAACAACCTCATATGCATGCGAAAGCTGGGCAGTGAATAAGGAAGACTGTGGAAGAATTGATGCTTTTGAGTTATGGTGTCAGAGGAGAACATTGAAAGTACCATGGGCTGCCAAAAGAACAAATAGATCTGTGTTGGAAGAAGTGTAGCCAGAGTGCTCCTTGGAAGCCAGGATGGCCAGACTTTGTTTTTCATACTTTCAACATATTGTCAGGAGGGGCCAGTCTCTGAATAAGGATATCATGTTTGGTAAAGTGGAGGGTCAGAGAAAAAGAGGAAGACCCCTAATGAGATGGATTGGCAGGGTGGCAGCATCAATGGGCTCAAATGTAGCAATGATTGTGAGGTTGGCCCAGCACTGGGCAGTGTTTCATTCTGTTGTGCATAGGGTTGCTATGAGTTGGTACCAACTCAACAGCACCTAACAACAACAACAACAACAACAACAGGCCCATGTTTTATAAAATGGATTTTGTCTTTTTATGGTTGAGTTGCAAGAGTACTTACATATTTCAGATATAAGTCCCTTATTAAATACATGATTTGAAAGTGTTTTCTCCCATTATCATTTTCTACATTCTATGTTGTGTTCTTTAAAGCATAAACATTTTACAATTTGATGACGTCTAATTTTACTTTTTTGTTGTCATTATTGTTATATGTGTTTGGTGTCATATTTAAGAAACCATTGCCTAATTGAAAACCAAACCAATCCAAACCTACTACCATAGAGTTGATTCTGACTCATAAAAGAATCCCACCTAGGGTTTCCGAGACTGTAAATCTTTACAGAAGCAGAAAGTCTTTTCTTTTTTCTGAGGAGTTGCTGGTGGGTTTGAACTACCAACCATGCAGTTAGCAGTCCAGTGCTTATCTTGTTGTTGTGTTAAGTTCTGTCAAGTCAGTTCCGATCTATAGCACCCCTGTATAGGGTTTTCAAGGAGCAGCTGGTGAGTTTAAACCGCCAACTTTGCGGTTCCCACTGACTTTACAGTCTAGCGCATTAACCCACAGCGCCACATCAGGACTCCAACAGCACCACCACAGACTTAGCAAATTCAAAGATTTACTCCTATGTTTTAATTCGAAGAAAAACAAAACAAAAAACCCTTTTTATTATGAATTGAGTTAATGTTTACAGAGCCGATCATCTGTTTTATATTCTACAACTCATGTACTTTGTTGTGTTACACTGATTGCAATCCCCTCCATTTCCTGTCATTTAACAGTATTTACCCCTACGCACTTTACCTCTGGCATTTCTCCCTGTCTTCTACTGCATTTGCCTTTCCTTTGCCCATCGCCCTCTTACTGTATATTGTCTTCCCTGTCACCCAAGTTAGCATGTGTCTATCCTCTGTTGTCGTAGTTGTTAAGTGTCGTTGAGTCAGTTCTGACTCATCACGAACCCTGTATAGGGTTTCCAAGGAGTGGCTGGTGAGTTTGAACTGCCGACTTTGTGATTCAAACCAACCTTGCTGTTGAGTGCTTATCCTATGGT